AGTATGTTAAGCAAAATAAGCCAGTCAGAGAAAGACAACTATCATATAATCTCACTTATCTGTGGACTCTAATGAACAAAATAAAATGATCAACAAAATAGATCCAGAGGCACAGAAGCAGGGAACAGACTGATAAATCTCAGAGGGAAGGGGTGGGGGAGGGGAGTGGTGGTACAGGGAGAGATTAACTAAAGAATTTATATTTATATATATTTATGCATAACCCATGGACACAGACAATAGTGCAGTGAAGGCTTCAGGGGGCAGGTGCAGGGTGGAGGGGGTTAATGGGGGGAAAAGGAGGCATCTATAATACTTTCAACATTAAAGATAATTAAAATTAATTAATTAAATAATTAAGCTACAAAAAGATATAGAGAAAATAATGCATAGTTATGCTTTCTTAGCACCTGAATATATGTTTGGAAGAAAACAAGAGAAAAAAATGTCAGTAGAATCAGTATTCACATATAGATATTTGGTTTGATTTGAATATTAATTGAACACATCTTGGGCACCTAGAGGGTGATTGATTGGAGCTCTAGGCTTGCCAGGGAGCCTGTGGCTTTGGAATTTGTGGCAAAAGTACCATTAGTGTGACACCAACTCTATCACTACTACTACTGGTGACTGCTATTCATTCAGCACAGTGTGATAGCCACTATGCTAAGCACTCACAAATATCTCATTTCATCTTCATGAGAACTTTGTGAGATGTCATTATTATCCAGATTTTGAAGTGGAAGAAATTGAGAAGAGAGGTGTCTAGATACTTTCCAAGGTCAGCCAAGCAGAACATGTCAGAATCCATATTGCATCCCAGGTCATCTGATTTCTAAATTCAGGCTCTAACCACTATTCCACGTGTCTTCCCTAAAGCTTGTCTTAAATCCTCCTGTTTGCTGCTCTTTTACAGGCTTTCTCAGTAGCTTTCCACCAGACCTCAGGGCTCTGGACATTTGACTTCATATTTTTTCTGCTCTGCCTGCTTTCCCAGAAAAATTCCACGTGGAGGACAGAGCAGCATTGGAAGGACAGATAATGGACATCTTCCTGCAGAGCTTAGTGTGAATAGTTAGGATAAGAGTTGGGAGATGATGAGAGAAAAGTGTGTGTGTGTGTGTGTGTGTGTGTGTGTGTGTGTGTGTATGTGTGTGAATATTTTTCCCCCCCTCCACCGATTTAGTTATAAGAGTAAAGCTAGTTAGTAAAGTAATCGAGCCTCTTTATCATATATTTAAAACAAAAAAATTTCCTTCCTTTAGTGGTCTAAGGCCTGAGAATATTCAAGGACAAAGGACTCTGGACAGATTTCTCTACTCCTCCGCACCCCCTGGGGGCTTGATCGAGGCTGGCCTCAGAGTAAGCAAGATTACCACTTCCTCCCAGTTATCTACTGTTGGGAAATGAACTACCTCCAAACGATAGCACACACTGTTATCTCCCAGTCTGCGGGCTGCCCGGGCAGAGGCGAGCAGGCCTCACTCCGGGGCTCTCACACAGCTGAGGTCAGGGGCTGCGTCCTGAGTCACTGGAAGGCTTCCTCCCTGGGGCCAACTTCTGAATGGCTGGAAAGCCTGGGCAGCCTGGGCTTCTCTGCATGGAGCCGCCCCACCCAGCTAGCATGGGCTCCTCACAGCTTGGTGGTCTCCGGGTAATTAGTGGTCGGGCACTGGGGTTGGCTTGTACCAATATGTCAGCGCTGATTCTGCGTGTTTCTTTCCAACCCTGCGCTCAGTGCTGCCGCTTTGGGAGCTGAAAATCGGCCATAGTGAAAGGGAGTATTTTCACCATGAAAATGAACAAACCCTGCAAATCAGGGTTTTTCTCTTCTCTCCCCACCCCCATCCCTGGAGAGCCAGGTTGCCAGCACATGAATTTATATGGTGGTTGACTCCCAGCCCAGAATGAGTGAGCCAAGAGGAAGCAGCAAAGCTTCTTAGAACCTAGCCATGGGCGTCCCCAAATGTCACTGACTTCTTATGCCGTTGGTCAAACAAGTCCCTAGAGCTAGCCCTATCTCAAGAGGAGGAGAGCTATCATCCATGTCCCATGGAAGAGTAGCAAAGAAATGGTGTAACATAGAACCTGGTACAGAGTAGGCCCTTGATAAATACTTGGTGAATGAATGATTGAATGAATGAAGTCACTTAAACACTAATCCATATGTCCTTAAATGACTATTAAGTATAAAGCTTTCCGGGAAGTTTTATTTCAACCTCAGAGAGGTCAATGAATTTTAAGTCAGCAAAAACCCTAAATCTAAAATTTCCTTGATATAGATCTACTTCCCCTCTGCCTGCGGGTATTCACAATCTGTGTATTCAAGCTTATCTGGTGCTGTACACATGACAATTGCAGAATGCTTGTTTTATAGATGTTTTTATACTATTTATATTTGCTTTACTTCCCTAAGTAAATGACAAATTCCTTAAGAGAGTTCTGTGTTTTGTTGCCACTCCTTCTTCCTACCGTGCTGAAAACAGGTAATTATACATGTACGTACACATGACTGCTTACAAGATATATGATGGTGAGAGATTATAAGCCTTAAAAGGGAAGGAAAGAAGGAAAGGAAGTAAAAATTCTTAATTGCTATGTTCCAGAGCCTTCCCTCAATCTTCTAATTTAACCCTTGTGTTTGCCCAGTGACATCAGCATTATTATTTACACCTCACAAAACAGATAAATGTGTCTCAAAAAGGTTCAGCAGTCAGGTCAAGGCTATGTAGAAGCTGGGGTTCAAATGCAGACCTGCATGGCTCCAAGGCCTGATCTTTATGCACCCACCCTCACCTACCCCCTTTCTCTCTGCCTCCCTCCTGGAAGGATCTACAAGAGTCATAAAAAAGCTGATGTTTCTAATCCCAAGAGGGGAACAGTTGTTTCAAGTACTTCTCTTGTTTAAAAAAAAAAAATGCCCTTTCCAAGTTTGGGAAGATAAGAAATTTAAAATATGCCGGGAAGGAAGTGAGCCTGATACCAGGGAGGTCAGCTACAAGGTTGTTGCAATAACTAAGGCAAAGAGCATTAGTAGGTTGGACGAAGGTGGTGGTAGTGGAGTGGAGCGATGTGAAATTTTTTGAGGGTTATTAAGAAGACATAATCTCCAGACTAATGAATGATTTGTTTGTGCAAGTGCTGAACACTCACTGTAGAATCATCTGGCTGTACCAGGATGGGAAGGTTGAAGAGAGGAAGCCTGTGTGGGAATCCTGGAAGATGATAAGGGCTTGTTAAACTAAGGAAACAGCCAGGGAGCTGAAAGAATGCATGGATTTGAGAGATAATAGGAGAGGCAGAATCTGTTGGATGTGTTGTCAAATTGGGTGTGGGAATGTGAGGACGAAGGATAGGTCAAGGGTGAAGTCCAGAAATGTGCTTCCAGAAATGGACAACCAGATGCTTTTCGCTGAGCTAGGGACACAAAATGGGGGGCAGATTCAGGTAAGGATAAACTTTGGATGCGCCAAGAGAGAGGTGAACGTGTCAGCAGGCGCTGGCAGTCAGTATGCAATTGCATTTATAACAAAACATCATATTTTATTTAACTAGATTCTTACTCCCTTCAGAGGTTAAAAATGAACATACCACCTGGCCAGTGTGGCTCAATGGGTGAGCATCAATCTATAAGCAGTAGGTCATGGTTTGATTTATGGTCAGGTCACATGCCCAGGTTGCAGGATCAGTGGGGAAGCAACTGATTGATGATTCTCTCTCATAATTGATGTTTCTTTTAAAAAATATATATTTTATTGATTTTTTATAGAGAGGAAAAGAGAGGGATAGAGAGTTAGAAACATTGATGAGAGAGAAACATTGATCAGCTGCCTCTTGCACACCCCCTACTGGAGATGTGCCCACAACCAAAGTACATGCCCTTGACCAGAATCAAACCCGAAACCTTTCAGTCTGCATGCCAACGTTCTATCCACTGAGCCAAACCAGTTTCGGCCTTCATAATTGATGTTCCTAACTCTTTCTCCCTCTCCCTTCCTCTCTAAAATCAGATTGTGTATATATATATATATATATATATATATATATATATATATATATATTTAAAAAGGAACATACCAAATACTATGTGTAGTAGTGTTGTGTCTCAGGCAATAAAAGGCTTTTGCAATTCTCAATGTTTTCACTTCACGGTGGTTCAACTCTCTCCAAAAGCCATTTATCACCCAGTCGGCGCCTCCGCCATAACCAAGATGTCTTTATTGAGCCTCCACAGCTAATAAGAGATGTCTGATTCAGTCAGGGACAGTGACTCATGTAAGCCATTGAAAGTGTTGCGGGGAGATTTTAGTGATTCCTCAGGCCACAGGTCTGCCTGTACATAAACACACACACACACACACACACACACACACACACACACACACGTTCGTTTTCTTAGAAGCTAAGACAGGCACACAGATGTGTTTGCACCCTCCTGCCCCCCACCCCCTCCACTGCAGGACAGCGTTGTTTACACAGGTGCCTGCATGTCAGGGCAGGAAGCGGGAGCCCCTTTGTCTCCTCCACTCTGAGGAAGATGGAAGCATTCCTGTCAGTGAATGAGAAAATAGAGGCTCTTGGAAGAACTGCTGCCTTCCCGCGCATCAGCTTTTGTCTTGAGATCCTACAAGACTTCTACCGAAACACAAAGCCAGTGCTCAGGAAGGCAAAGGGGATAAGAGTCCCAACCCAAAGGAATCCTCCTGTAGGTGCCTCACCAATGTGCCTATTACACAACTCTCAGCCCAGGCACCGAAACCAAGCTCGGATTAGAGCTCCCTGCCCACGGGGAGCACCCGCCACTTTGGCGCAGAGCTGCGTGGGGTGCTCCTCATCCAGCCGGGGCCCCCCCGGCTCCCCCAGGGGACAACAGATGCCTGGGAACCCACCGGCCTCCTCACCCAATCCGGAGTCCCTGGACCTGACTCCACCTTGACCCAGAGACACCCTAAAAATAAAGCTTTCTTGGGTGAAAACCCAGGAAACCAGAGCTTGCTTACCTGAGAGAAGGTCCCGGTGGCCGGCAGCAGGAAAAAGCTAGTCCTCGCAGAAGTGACAGGGACTCGCAGGACGGGTCTGTCAGTTTCAAAAGAAGAAAGGTGACTTCATCCCCGGTGCCCTGGAGTTGAAAAGAGCACCGGGTGCTCCCTGGCTGAGCCAACTCTGCCTCATCAGCGGGCGATGACTCCATCCAAATGATGCAGCCGCTGCCCAGACACGCTCACACCCCAGAAGGTAAATCTCTGCAACCTGACTAGCCCTGTTTTCAAAGAGCCTCCGAAAGTCCTGAAGCACCAATCACCTTACCCAGCACCAGGGGTAGAAAAAAATCAAACACTATTTCCCTGGCTCCGAATCATTGTCTCTCAAAAATCCCATTGTCTGGAAAACAGCTCGTAGGAAAGGGAAAACAGGTATTTAAATTCCTGAGGGGTAGAAATTTTGCAGGAAGGAGGGTAGAGAAAAGAAGTTAGTATATTTCAGTGGGGATGGGAGGGGGGCATTAAGAAGCTGGAAATAGCCCGGTCAGTGTGGCTCAGTGGTTTGTCACCAATTGATGACCAGGGAGGTCACAGCTCCATTCCCAGCCAGGGCACAAGTCTGGGTTGTGGGCTTGATTCCCAGGGTAGGGTGTACAGGAAGCAGGCGATCAATGATTTTCTCTCACCGTTGATATTTCTATCTTTTCCTCTCCCTTCCTCTCTGAAATCAATTTTTAAAAACTTTTTTCTTAAAGGAGCTGGAAATGGTCACCTTGCTAAAAAGTTCCCTGAGCTGGTGGATTGATAAGCATACAAAGGTGACAAGTAGGTGACAGTCTGGACTATGCAGAGGGTGAGGTATTCAGTTAAGCAAAAGATGAGTCACATAATGGAAAGTGCAATAGCCTTTCTAATGAAGGCGGCTGATTTCTATTTTGTTTTTATTGAATGTGGTGTCACGCAACCAAATTGGGATCATTGTCACATTAACATATCAGCTCAAAACACTCTCACATTTCACCAAGAAGACTTGGGAAAGGGGATGTTTAAGTGAGAATTTTCTCTCTTGTATGTTAAAGGTGAGGCCGGACAATTGAATTTGTAGCATGGCAGTCAAGGTCACATCAAGCTATCCAGTAGGCCAGGTGCCTCTCCTTGATGCCAGGTGCTTAGGCTAAACTTTGGACAGGACTCTGACTGTGGTGCTAAGGGAAGAACTAGTCATGGTGTGATCTCTGTTGGAAGTGGGGCAGAGGGTCGAGCTTGCTTGCCCAGTGCCCTTTCCCTCTCACCCCTACTTCAGGAGACTGTAAGGGGACTTTGGGTCACTAGGCATGTGTTCAATTTCTTGCTAAGCTATTTTGAGGCTTTGGAATCTTCTTGTGTCAAGTTTCAATCCAGAGAGAGTAAAATAAGGAAAAAATCTTTTTCTTTTTAGATAGAAATATTCAGGCCCAATATTAAAAAGGCTTTTTTGAATTCAGAGACTTAAATATATATTTTTTTAATTGATTTTTTTACAGGGAGGAAGGAAGAGGGATAGAGAAATCAAAACATCGATCAGCTGCCTCCTGCACACCTCCCACTGCGGATGTGCCCGCAACCAAGGTACATGCCCTTGACTGGAATTGAACCTGGGACCTTTTAGTCCACAGGCCAGCACTCCATCCATTGAGCTAAACTGGCTAGGGCTTAACTCAGAGACTTAACAAATATCAACATGCCGAAACCGGTTTGGCTCAATGGATAGAGCATCAGCCTGCGGACTGAAAGGTCCCGGCTTAGATTCCGGTCAAGGGCATGTACCTTGGTTGCGGGCACATCCCCCGTAAGGGGTGTGCAAGAGGCAGCTAATTGATGATCCTCTCTCATTAATGTTTCTAACTCTCTATCCCTCTCTCTTCCCCTCTGTAAAAAAATCAATAAAATATATTTAAAAAGAAATTTCCACATGGCAACCTGGCCAGGTAGCTCAGTTGGTTAGAGCATTGTCCTGATATGCAAGATTGTGGGTTTGATCCCTGGTCAGAGCACATATGAGAATCAACCAAGGAATAGGTGGAACAACAAATCAATGTTTCTCTCTTTCTCTAAAAATTATTTAATTAAAATATTTTTTAATTAAAAAAAAGAAAACTTGTAAATCTTCTGATCAGGGTGTAAATAACAAGAAAAGTAGAAGAGAAGCAGAGTTTCATCAATGGTAAGATGAATAAAAGGACAGGAGTCATTTTTATGCACTTCATCATAGTCTCCTCAAAGCCTAGAACACAAAGCAGCACACTGTCCGCAGAAAATAAATAGTGTCAGACACTCCCATTCCAGTTTCAGATTTCTAGAACAGATCTGTTGAGTCACCATCTGGTAAACCAGGCAAGTACAGAAAGCATGAGCCAGGGGGTCTTATGGAATGCAAGAGGAACTTGTGTGTGTTTTGCCCCAGCCCCCAGGTTCATTGCCAAAGTTAGAATAGAGCAAAGAAAGCCAATTTCTTCTGGATCCCGAAGCCTCCTTCATCCACCCTGTTCCCTATATATCAGCTAGATTCCAGGATCTTTCCCCAGGGCCACGACTCTCATGGGAAATTTGCCAACTATCCCAATGTTTGTTCTCAACATTCTATCATACAATTTTCAGACTTAGAAATGTGTTGAAAATTTTTTACAATTAACATGCATATACTCACCACGTAGTTCCTTCAATTGACATTTTACTATATTTTTTTATTACATATTGATTCTCTGTCCATCCAGTAACTCATTTAATTAATGTTGTTATTGTGTTCCAAAGTAAGTTGTAGATATCGATTCTTCCCAAATGTTATTAACCAGAGTTCAATATTTATTTACAAATTTTTTCCAGTGCTCTCATATCATTTTCCCATCCTACCAACAACACATTAGAGTTTTAGTTCTTTTATATCCTTCTGATGACATTTGGTGTAGTAGTTATTTCAATACCACTTGTTGAAAAAACTTTCCTTTTTCAGTGGGTTGCTTTGACATCCTTGTTGAAAATAAATGTGTAAATGTGGGTCTATTTCTAGGTTTTTTACTCTTGTTCTATCAATCTGTTTGTTGATTATGAAGGAGGGTGGAGGTGGGGACTGACTTATATTGGTACCACACTGTCTTGATTACTATAGTTTTAGGGTAAACCTCGAAGTCATGTAGTATAAGTCTACAACCTTGACTTCTTTTTTCAAGACTTCTTGAATATTCTAAGTTCTTTCCATTTTTAGAGAAATTTTAGAACCAGCATGCTAATTTTGATGAAAAAAGCATAGAATTATTATTAGGATTGTATTAAATTCATAAATCAACTTGGTAATTGCCATCTTAACAACACTGAATCTTTCAATCAATTAACTTGGTAAATCTCTCCATTTAGTTACATCTTTAATTTTCTCAGCATTGTTTTGTTGATTTTCAGCACTTTGACTATGATATGCCTAAGTATTTTTATTTTGTTTGTTTTTTTATGTTAATCTTTCTTGGTGTTTATTGAGGTTTTGGAGTCTGAAATCTGTCTTTTACCAAATTTATGAACTTTTCATCCATTATTTATTTGAATATGTTTCTGTATCATTCTTTCTCTCCTCTCCTCCTGGGACTCTAATTATAATATAATAATATCTTTTGGTATTATTGCAAATATCGTTTGGATCATTTCTGCTGATCTACTAATTCGTTGACCTTTCCTTCTTTCATCTCCCTTGTGCTTCTTAAGGACATCCATTGAATTTTTATTTCAGCTATTTATTTTTTAGTTTCTGTATCTGGCCCATCATCTTTGCTCTAGACTATGTCTAACATTTGACCTTTTAGTTTTAATGCTGTTTTTCAATTCTGACTTCAGAATTTGAGAAGACCACCCTCAACTACAAATTGCTACAAAATTGTGCCAGTGCTGGTCAGGTGGCCTGCTTGGCAGGCGTGGAATCCAGGGTACTGGGGCATAAATATCTACCACCACCCATTTCTATCTCTCCACCTTGTCCCAGGGGAACTGATCAGCAACACAGCACTAAGCCTAGGTTTTTTTGTTCGTTTGTTTGTCTTCCCAGGTGGCACAAAAGAAGCTCCCAGGAGATTGTAAAATACCTATTCTTAGTCCCTGCCCCAGAACAGTTAACTTAGAAAGGGGTGGTGGTGGTGGTGGTGATGATGTTCAAGCATTATTATTTTTGTCAGAGTGCCCCAGGGACTTGGCCTATGACCCAGGGTGAGAAATATCAGTGAGTCAACTTGATGGCTCATCCTCCTGGACTGTGGGTGGATCTGAAATGTCCCTTCCTGCTACTGGTAAAGGCAGCATAGAGGAAAGTGCCAAGCATTATGATAAACAGGCTAAGGGTTGAATCCCTGCTCTGCCATTTACTGGTTGTGTGACATTGGCTAAGTTACTGAACATCTCTGGCATTCCATCTATCTAACAGTAAAAGAGGCAAAATAAGAGAACCTATGAGAATCAATGAGACACCATATATAAAGCAACTGGCACACGGTGAGTACCTAATAGCCATTCTCTCCTTCCCGCCCTGCACTCCCCCCTTCTCCCCCAGTTCCCACCCTACCTCCATGTGCAGAGTCAGCTCCACACAGCTTGGTTTTGTGCTTGTTCTCCTTGATCTGCCCGTGACCATGACATCAGTCTGGATTTGCAGCCCTGGACCCTGGACCTGACATTTTGATCTCAGCTTCTGAACTTGATCTGGCTCTTCTTTCCTGCCATGCAGGTTTTGGGCCCAGTTTCCATCACCTGTTTCTGTTGCTCAGCTCTAAGCCCCAGTGGGCCAGCTTCTAAAAGTAACTGGCCCCCCTGTTGCTCCAGCTCCAGCTGAGTTTTAGCACCAGGAGGGGGTGGGGCTAATTTTAGACTTGTCCTGAACTAACATCTGCGAGAGGGCAAGGCCAGGCAAGTCCCATCTGCCTTCTTCATATCTGGGGCGGAGTTTACAGAGAAAGGCTGGGGAGACTTTGCCACAGGGTTTGTGTTTCTGTATCAAGCCAGGCACCTTATATGGAAACATCATCCAGGAAACCATAGGCCTCAAAATCTGTTTGGATTTGAGCCTCAGGTGTTGTGCTGAGTGGGAGTAATAACAATGTAAATTGGAATTTTTGATATGCTAATACTTGTTCTCAGCTGGGATGGG